TGTCTGTTGTTGTTTAAATTGTTGTTAGCCACCCGGAATCATGTTTTTGAGATAGACTGCCATCTAAATTGAAATAAAATAATAAATAAATATTTTTTAAAATGGGAAATAAGGTCTGTGAAGGGCAAAAATGGTTTCTGTTTTAAAGTTTAAATTTGTTTTGGACAAAACTGCTATGCTGTAGGGTAGCATACAATTTCTGACTGAAAACAGTATGTTGCCAATACACAGGAAGGCCACTAATGATAAGCACTATGGTTTAGATGGAAAATACTCGAATTCATGTGTGGGTTGAAGGCATGATTTGCTCTTTGCAAGGAATTGTTGGGGACAATGGAGACGGCATTAATCAATGGCATCCACGTATTAATTTTTACACAGGGCCAGAAGGTATTTCCCCAACCAGTTTGTGTTATATCTAATTGCTGTATTAAATGGACTGGTAAGGAATGGTCTTGGCCATCAGTAATAGAGTGTAGAAATAATCTAACTGGATTTATAGACTTAATAACGAATGTATTACATCAGCCAAATATTAAAAATATGGAATTTTTTGGTCACCAATAATGAATATCACTATGCTGTCTCTTTATATTACATGTGTTCCCTACTAAGAATCTACATATTTTTAGAAACATATTTAAATTTATGTAAAGAATATATTTCTATGACCTATTAAAAAGCATGTAGATACTGTATATATTAGCAAGTAACACCTCTATTATGTTGTTCATGATACCAGTAAGTATAAAGATTTCAAGAGGGGGAATACGTGCTGGCCTTCCAGAAGGGCAAGAAGACGTGGCTTTGCCATCTGGCCCAGGGATCTGGGAATGTGGCTGTGGAGCCTGCAAAATAGCTGCTTTACTAGAGAAACTGAGTGCATTCTCCTGCAGATTATTTCTTTAATTATTTTTATGTTTTTAATTGACTTTTTAATGACTTTTTTGTTATGTGTTTTGGTTATTTTGTTGTATTGTCTTTTGTGTTTTTTAACCTTGTATGCCACTCAGAGTCAGGTACATTAGATGGGTGGCTATATAAATTTACCAAATAAATAAATACATAGAATATAGAATAGAATATATGAACCATGAATCTCCAGGTTATTGTTATTAGCAGGTAAGGCCAAGTGACATATAACTTTATACTATGTGTTTGTGTGAATAGACATCTATAAAAGATAGAGTACCTGAGCTCCACTCTGACAGGCCATGAAGGCGGGAAGGTTTATTCAGGAAATTTTCAGCCTATGCAGAATGTGAAAAAGTCCTCGAATTAAGAGTTTGAAGAAGTCACAACCAGACCCTGTTCTCAGAATAAAAATGGTTCCCAAAACAACAGATTCTGGATTATGGTCTAAAAGAGCCACTTCTTTGGGAATTGTCTGTTAATGAGAAAGTCTCACTGTGATGCTAGGCTTCCCTGTTTGCTCTTATTTCCTGTTTGTATTTTCAACAGGCCACTCAAAGATAGTAAAGCTGCTTGTGGAACATGGCGCTCGCCTTTGCTTGAGAACTGAGGCAGGTTGGACTCCAGCGCATTTTGCTGCAGAATCAGGGCGACTCAGCGTGTTAAGAACCCTGCATTCTTTGCACGCACCGATTGATGCTCCAGATCTCTATGGGGATGTCCCAAGAAGAATTGCAGAGATCTATGGGCACAAAGCCTGTGTCAGATTCTTAGAAAGGTAAGTACTGTATTGGGAAAAGAATTAAAGCAGACAACATTGCTCTTTTCCTAATGCTGGTTTGTAGTGGAGCAAAGGGGCTTACCAGTCCCAAGTTAGGAGAAAAAAATGAAATTATCAAAACAATTCAAATTACTACTATCCAAAGCCGTCGATATAAAAATCTGGTTTTTAAAAAAATCAGTCAAATCACATATTAAAGCCCCTTTAAAATAAAATCTGTTTTTTCTAAATGACATTAAAAGAGTAGCCAGCCAATTCTATCATAGGAACAGTATTCCAGAGCAATGGCATAAGAACTGAATCTCTCCTATATTTTTGTATTTTTGGGTCATATGAAAAGATAATGTGCAGGGTTTCTGAGAATGATCTTAAATTGCCTCCAAATTATTTGGGTTTTAAAGGCCAAGGACTTTCTGCACAGCAGCCTTAATCTATTTACCTCTCAGTCTTTCTAAATTTCAACCTTTTCCTCCACTTTGGCCATATTGATTCTCTGGTGGTCTACTTGGAGTACACTTACTGAACATCCAGTTGGTGGATTCCCCTGCTTCTTTACCCCTGATACATGCTAGGAAAGCAAATAATTAATTGCACTTCTTTTGTGGCTTGGTCTTCTGTGGACCTGCTGTTTCCATTGACAGGCCTTTTTATGTCATTCTCTCCCCCCAGCCCCACTTCTCTCATGCTTAACACCTTCCCATCTGATGCCTCCTCTCCCCACACCCTCCATTCTATAAGGAAATCTGCAAGGCTTTAAAATCCATAACTCTGTTCAAGTAAGTAACATATAAACCCAGTTAGATTAATGGCATTAATTGTACTAGCAAATCTCTATGAATTGCCTCATGCTTTCTCTTTGCCTAAATAAACATTTAATGAAGTTGCCTTCATTGGTTTTAAAAGGATATTTCTCTGAAGAGCTGGTTTACAATAATGCTAAAGCACCCATATGTATTTAAGGAATTTTCCTATATTTTGTTATGTTTGTATCCTCCAGGCTTTGAGAAAGCAAAGCCAAAGCTGTTTTGTTTTTAATTAATTTTAGAATTGAGTTTTAAGAGGCGGCTTATGGTCAAGAAGGATGCAGTGTCACCCATCTTTCCAAATGGGAAGAGACCATCAGAGTCTTTTCCAAGCCATGATCAGCCCTTGGTAGCAGCTATCCAAGGCCTCTTTCTCTTTTCTTTTTATCTAGGGCTGAAATGGAATACAAGGTGTATTGCCAGATGGCAAAATCAAAGGGAATCCAACTGGATGAGAAAGATGAAGATTGGGAGCTTAAGAAGGAAGAACTTTTGAAAAGTAAATCCTTCTCTCAAAAGAAACCTGTGAAACACAAGATGCAGGGAAAGCATGGTGTTCAACTTCATTCAAGAAAATAATGAGAAGAACAGAATATTTCAGATGAGCTAGATAATAAGATCTTATCTCCCTTAACTTACTAGTCATTGCAATCCATCTATTTCATTTTTCTATTTTTCCATTCTTTGACGTGATTAATGATGATGGGCTCATCTCATCATATCAGATTAAGAATTTTTTTAAATGTGCACAAAAAAATCTATTTTTATATGCATT